AGAGGTCAGCGACATGCACGATGAGATGAAGAGGCTGGAGGTCGAGTGGATCTCGCAGCGCCAGCTGAAAGTCATCGGTTGCGCCATCTAGCAGTTGGTGAGACGGCCAGTGACAGACCGCCGTAAGACGCTGATTCCCGCGCGGTCGCGATTATGAGGGGCGCCAGCTTGACGAGCCGCAGCGCGACTACAAGAAGATCCACAGCTACCGGGTCGGCAACCCAAAGTTGGGTAAGTTCCCCGACCAGAAGATCACGAAGCCGAAGTTGGACCCCAGGGGCCCCAGACGCGGAGGGCGCGCGGCCAGGCCGAGAAACCGACGACGGACGACCCCGCCGATCGCACGCTCTTGGAAGCCAAACGGGAAGGGGGGGCGACAGCCCCGGCGCCAGAATTCTCGCTCACGCCAGAGCACATCAGCCCCGACAGCTTGTTTGGATCCCCGCGGGGGTCAGCGAACGAGGCAAAACTGATCGACCTGCCTGGAGGGGGCCTGTCCCAGAGGAGCTGATGGCGACCATCAGTGCGCCTTTTCTGGGCAGCAGCGCAGGCGCCCCCAGCCTCGGGCAGGGGAGTCAGCAACGGCGGCAGCCCATGCCACAGTTGCGCTGTGGCCGGGGTGCGCAGGGAGTTGCCTCGACGCGCGTCGCGCGCCGTTGCCCCGTCGGCCCGCGGAGCGCCCGCGACGGATTGCGCTCGAAAGCTCTAGCCGTCGGGCTCGCACCGCGTGGGCGGCCGAGCGAGCTGCAGTGGTAGAGAGGGCCCGCCAGCGACCACGACTGGTGGAATAGGACGGGCAGGGCGAAACCATCAAGACCGATTAGTACTCGCAACGCGTTAGTTGTTCATCCCCCAGTTGTCCTTTCCGCGCCGCGCGCTGCCCTGCTCCCCCCGCGCTCGCCGCGCCCTGTCTGCTGGTCGCCCCCCCCCCCCCCCTCCCATTCCCCCCCGCGATCCCTGGCCTGTGATGGCCTCGTGGTTTAGTGGGTGAGCTCGCCCTCCTTCTCCCCTGCTCCATGTCGCTCGCCCCGACTGGCCCCCCGGCCCCGCCCCTCTGCCCGCGGCCATGATCTTTGCCCCTGGCCCGCTCGGAAACGCAAGTCGCGCCGGCGAGGTCTACCGCGACGCCGTCGGCATCCTCTATCCAGCGCCTCAGAATGGCTGGCGAAGCCGTTCGCGGCTCGGCCGCGGGTAGCCCCCTGCCTGCCGGGGGGCGAGGGGCGACTGGCCCGCGGAACAGTTCACCTACGCCGACGATTTGGAGGCAATCGGCTCGGGGCCGCGCTCGAGATTGGCAATGCCCTTCGCGATCGCACCGCTCGGCGTCTTCGGCTGCAGGCGCGGGCAGGGCGGCCTCTAGATGGACTGGGTCGGCCCCCGCTGCGCTGCGACGCATGCGCAGCGGGCGCGTCGGAGGCGAGGGCGGCTCGGGCGCCAGCCCGGCGTCGGGGGGCCGTCGCGGCGCCATGCGCGTCGGCGAGATGGCGCCTGGCTTGGGGCGCGTGGGTTTCGCGGTGATGATCGCCGCCTGGGAGAGGCTGCCCCCGGGGCCGGCCTTGGCCCGGCTCGCCGGCGTCGCGAGGGCCGGCGAAAGGGGGTTTCCTGTGGTTTTGGCGGCCAGCATCTTGCTGACGCGGATCGGCGAGCGACTGGCAGGCGGGCCAAAGCTGGAGGCGCCCGTCATGTTCAAGACCGAGGGCGCCGGGCGCTCCCGATCGAGCGCGATTGCTTGGGGGGCGGCGCTGGATAGGCGACTTGGAAGAACCGCTGAACGGCCGCTCGCGAGGAGTTCCTCGGCGCGCGCTGGAAGTAAAGAATGAGCAGTTCCCCTGGTCGGGGGCCAGAGCAGACGACCCGAACTGGGGCATCTCGGCGCCAGGGCTGCGGGGCCCGATCCCCCGCGCGAAGCTGTCCTCGAGGTCTGGGGGGCCCCGGCAGACGGCGAGCCGCGTGCCGGGGGGTCGTCGGACATGCTTGCGAACGCCTGCGCAGAGACCAGGGCCACGTCGACCCAGTGGCCGTTGACTGAGAACTGAGGTCACGCATGGCGGCGCCGAGCCTGGACTGGCCACCGCGCGAGGAAAACCGGGGGCTGGGCGACCTCGGCAACATTAACGCGACGGACGTCGGCGAGCCCCTCAGGATCCACGCGACGGCAGCGGACCTGAGGTGGAGCGTGCCCGACGAGATGGCGCAGGCCCCCATGGAATTCTACGAGTCTACCGTCGAAGATCAAGCGGCCGCCCGGGGCAGGGCGTCCGCGGCCAGGCGCGGCCGCGGGAGCTGCGCGAGACGCGCGCCTTGAGCCGCGGCGACGGCGCCGCTCAGAGCGTCCAGGACGACGTCGCGCAGGAGCTGGGCGCTGCCGCTGCAGCGCGGGGCCCCGGGCGACCCTTCGGGGCGGGGGTCCCGCGGCGAGAAGCTGCGGTTCCACTTTCCGGCTGGCGCCGCCACGGGGGGAGCTTCCATTCTCGCCCCCGGGCCCATCCCCGCCCTTTGTTTCCGCCGCGGCGGCGTTGCAGGGCGGGAGGGGCGCCCTCGACCGCGGAGGGCTTCGTGGCCGGTGGGCAGGGCTTCGAGTCCGCGCCATCCCCCCTCGCGCGCAGGCGCGGCGCGGCGCGGTTTCCTTGGTGGCCCGCCCCCATCGCGCTGGGCGACAAGTTCCTAGGAGTGGCTTGGGCCCTGCGCGCGCGGCCCCTGGATCCGCCACCCGTAAGAGAGGCATCCATGTCATCTCCTGCCGCGCTTTTCCACCGTCGCACCGCTACTAGGTCGAGCCGAAAATACGCCCCCGTGCGCCAGTCCGCAAGTGCGTTTTTTTTTTTTCTGCCCGACGGTTGCGGCCATTCGGGGTTTCAGGCGTTCGGCCGATTTTGCGTAACCCGCCCTCAACCACCCTGGGGCCTCAAGTTCCTGGGAGTGATTGTGGCCCTGCGCACAGGGCCCCCAGTTCCGCCACCCGCGCAAGAGGCATCAACGTCATCCGTCGTTTTTTCTTCCACCGCCATCTCAGCTATCCCATCGCTGTCGAAGATTGGAAAAAAGTACGCTGCAGCGCGGTAGGCTGATTGATCGCCACGGACCTAGTTCATAGTACACTCTGGTGCAAGAGCCGTTCTAGCTAACAACGCCGCAGCTTCCCAGAACTTACGTTGGGCATCTCAGGAAGCAACCACTTCGGCGGGCACGCATGGTCTTCTGGTGCCTCTGTAGAGACGATCGGTGCCTCCGCCTGCTCCTTTCCGAACTCTTAGTTGACCTCCTTGGCACCCTGGACGATTCATCACGAATGGTTCCGAACATGTCGCCCCCAACATGCGTGCCGATCTCGCACCGCGGATTGTCAGAGCCCCGAATCATCACGGCTCGTGGCGGTCAGTGATAGCTACACACTCGCGCCTCGGAGGCCCAAACCAGACTTACCCCAGACCGCAGTTATCCCGGATAATGCGGGCGTCCAACCATCCCGAATCATCAGGGTTGGGGGCTGTCAGGGATAACTACGGACTCGCGCCTCGGAGGCCTAGCCCGCATTACCCCAGACCGCAACTATCCCGGATATCTCGGGCGTCCAACATTCCCGAATCATCAGGGCTGGGGGCCGTCAGGGATATCTGCGGACTCACGCTTCGGAGGCCCGAACCCGAGTCACCCCGGACCGCAGCTATTTTTTCCCGTTAATCTACGCGTCCGAGATCGTCTTCTGGCTCTCCCGGCGCCCCTGGGAGAAGCCTCCCGAGAACCCCGAACTCAGAAAATCCAGCCGTCCCGTGTTGCCCTGGCCTGGTCTCTCTCCATGCCTTCGTTGCGCACGAGAGGTGCCTTGGCGGAGAGCGCCCCTCTCTTGTTGCCTCCGCGGGTCGCGCCGCAGGCGCAGACTGGCCCAAACAAGTCGGAGGTCGATAGACTTCCTACCCTGACACGTCGATTTGCGAATTGGCCGTTTTCGGTTCGCGAGAGGGCGTCCCGGCCGTCAGTTTTGCGGGTCCAGGTCCGTCGATTTCGGTGTTCGGCCGTTTTCACTAAAGGACAGTTTACTAAAGAGAGGTTTGTCCACCACCGAACAAAGCCGCAGCCGCACCGGGGCGGTCAAGCCTCGAGGAGGGGTGCCCAGGAGGACACGCGGCTCTGCCCAGAATGTCCACCCGTACCTCCCCCGCCTCGCCTCCCTCCCATGAGGGCCGCCGGCAGCTCTCCCTGCGCGAGGGGCGGTTGGGGCCTGAGCGCCGCTGGAGACCCAGGCCCCTTCGCGACGCGAAGAGAACACGCTCGACTGTCCTTGTGGCTGGTTCAGGCCTCCAGGGGCCGTCGCTGGGCCCCGGGGCCGTCCAGAGACGCCTCGGGATGAGAAGCCGATCGCGGGGAGAGGCCCCCAGAGACCGCACAGGGGGTGGGGATCGCGACCGAGTCGCGGCGTCGGGGGCCTGAGGACGAGCACGGCCTGGCCGCGGGGCGGCGGGTCGAGCGTGGGGGAAGCGGGTGCTGTGGGAAACGGGTGATGGACCTTGGGGCTCCTCCTCCTCCTCCTCCTCCTCCTCCTCCTCCTCCTCCTCCTCCTCCTCCTCCTCCTCCTCCTCCTCCTCCTCCAGATCTTCATCCCGAGTCGTGTTCTGACGGTCCCGGGGCCCTTTACGGGCCCCGAGAGCCAGAACACGGCAGAAAGCCTCAGGACTGGTTTCCCGCAGGACCCGTTCCCGGGTTCCTGACGTCATGGTTTCTGTCAGAATCTCAACCACCAGAGGTCTCGATCCAGTCCTCGGAACCGGCTTTTCATCCTGAGTCGTTTTCTGACGATCCCGAGGGCCGGCAAGGGCCCGAAGAGGCTGGAAGGTGGGAAACCCATTCCGTCGCGAGTTGTCACAAGTCGAGGCGGCTTGGGGGGCTCCCGTGGCGACGAGTCGACCTCAGCCGGCGGGGGGGGGGGCGATAGCGTCTGCCGCGGGGCGCCGCGCGCCATGGCGGGCAGGGCGCGCGCGGCGGGCCACGTCGCCGCGTGGCGGGGCGCGCTGGAAGTGCTGCGGGCCGCGGGGGCGCTGGGCGCCGCACCCCCGCGGGCCTACGGCGGGGCCGTCGCG